ATTCTCTCCTTCTTTCAGGTGATGGAAACGAAGAACATGCTGTACTTAGTCACAGAGTATGCCAAGAATGGCGAGATTTTTGGTGAGTTGTCTTTTTTTCAGTGTTAGATCAGTCCCTTTCTAATGATTATGTTGTTTTTTCAGTCTTGGCTGCTCACATTCTTCATCAGTGTCAAAGGCTTTTGAGTTTGATTTGCTTTCATAAGTATCCCAGCCCCCATCTCAAAGGTCATATGATTGGTAGAAATGTGAAAAAAAGTCCTGATGTGACCTCTGTCATATACTACTAGTATTTTTCAGAATGTGCTGACATTGTCTTCTCAAAAAAAATGACATCACTGATGGCTTGTAAAGGCCACAGAAATGCAATCTCAAAGTGGAAAAGGTTAATTTATACCAAAGGTGCTGCAAAATCATCTGCAGATAACAGGTTTACTACCTGAATGATCATAATTTTACACAATATCAAGATTACTTTCTTTGTACTGCCAAGTACCAGTGTATTTTCTTCCTAATAAAATGACAGTTAAATTCTGTTTGCATGTTGTTTGTTAAATTATTGTCCAGATTAAAATTTAAAGTTGTTTTTTCTCAGAATGTCCATTTTTTTGCACTTTACATAGAACTTTGTATGATAGAACAGGAGATAAACATGAGAAGCTCTCAGCTTTCTCAAGTAATTTTACTTTCAAAGTCAAAATCTAAAAAGTGAAAAATATTCATCACTAATATCAAAATGTGTTGTGATTTCATGATTTAAAATTGCAGAGGATAAGCAAAGTGCTAAAATACTCAGAATCTGGAGGGATAGGACAGAAAAGTGTATTTCTATGAATAATGTTTTCAGATGCCTAAAAATGGTTTTGAAGAAGAGTTTGAGTAAAAAAAAKAACTGAAAAACTATGCAGTCTTTTACAGTTTCCACACTTAATTTCCAGAATTCACTGTGAAAGCAATACTTTCACATAATTCTGGAAATTTGTTAWAAACCACAACCACTTAATCTCCTAGAACCATTAGAATCAAATTCAGAGCTTCCATAGATATTACAGAAACAAATCTTACACTGTGCATTGGTGATGTAAACAAATCCCAGCAATTTTTATTCTTGGTCATGTTGAAGTGGTTTAATATTCAAAGTGAAAAGTTTAGCCATTCTCTGCATGTCAATTGAAATGTTATGCACTGTTTTAGTGTGAAAAACAAACACCGGTGCAAGCAAAGACAAACAAGTCAGAACATAGCAAGAATAGGACCTGAAGATAAAAATTTATCTTGGTTTTCCATTGCACTGGTATGAGGTATATCACTGCCACACACACACACACACACACACACACACACACACACACACACACACACACACACACACA